GTTTATTTACTGAAAGCTACTAAAGGTAATTAAGTTTATTAAATGCATTCACAATATGTAGGCTACACATTTATTATTGATCTTATGCCTAATACAGGGCCGTAGACAGGGCTTTATAATCACAGAGGTCCTAAATTTGAGATTGGTAGGGGGTTCAAATTTTGTATTTCTGATTTGTGCATTTCAAGACGTTTGAAGACCAAAAAAAAAGGATAAGAAATAGCTTTAAAACCATGTCAGTGGGCAGATTATTTGTCAATACCTCCTCTCTTCTCATCTCCATCACTCTTCCTTTTTTTCTCAGTCTCTTCCTCCCTTTCTCTTCCCCTCCTAAAGCTGAGCTTTTTTAATTTACTAAAGGCTACAATTTGTATTATATTCTCAATATGTACACATTCATTATTAATCTTGTGCCTAACATGATGAAAACGGCTTTGTTAATGTTTCTTGTAAACTAATTATTACATTACATGAGTTACATGAGTGTATAGGCCTATTTTCAGTTCAAAATGGCGAAATTAGACAAAACTATATTAGTTTGCCTGATTATTTTTTGTCATTCGTTTAACATTTATGACCTAAAAAAAGTAAAATATGAAATGTTAAGTTTAGCTACTTACATCTTATCTCGCACTTGACCGTACGCGTCGAGTCCATAGACTGTAAAAAATGGTCGTGTCGCACTCGCACTGTTAAAATTCGCGCTCAGCAGCGTCTGTGAACATAAAGCCCGCCTACTTTGATTTGATTGGTCGTCTCTGACATTGACGAGCAGTGACAGACCAATGAGGCTCAGATGAACACACAAATGAACACACACACCCTGTCCTCTGTTTCTGACGTGCTCTCTGCACGGCGCAGCTGTGGATTGAGAACATGCTGAATCTGATTATAACAAGACTGAAGCGAACACGAATTTGTGTAGCCTACATTAATCTCACATTTTTAGGGGGGCTTGGCAGAAGTTTAGGGGGGCTGAAGCCCCCCTAAAAAGGGCCTAGTGACGCCCCTGACGTGTATGTTAAAATCTCCAACAATTATTGCTTTATCGGCATTGACCAATAGATCTGAGAGAAAGTCTGCAAACTCTTTTAGGAATTCAGCATATGGCCCTGGAGGTCTATATACAGTAGCCAAGGCTAGAGATAATAGGGATTTCTTTCTTACATCTAAGAGCGTAACATTTAGCACAAGTACTTCAAACGAATTAAACCTGTGACCTGTTTTCTGAGTAACATTAAGAATATCTCTATAGATTGTTGCAACTCCGCCGCCACGACCGATCGGACGGGGCTCATGCTTATAACAGTTTCCTGGCAGGGTAGACTCATTTAGACCGAAATACTCATTTGGTTTAAGCCATGTTTCAGTAAGGCAAAGTACATCGAAGCTATTATCTGTGACCATTTCATTTACAATAACCGCCTTAAGGCCTGTTCACACCGGGACGAATTTCACGCGCGATATTCGCCGACGTTTAACGCCTTCGTGACTAAACAAAGGGCGCCAATGTGAGTGTGCCCACCGACGCGAAAAACGGCACGCGTAAAAGCGTCATTTTTTAAAAAAACGCCTCGGGTTCGTTTTTTTAGTTTGACGCACCGTGTCAAAAACTATCCGACCAATGAGATTGGCGCTTTTGCTCACGTGTCTGGAGCTTCTGAAGTTACAGTAAAACACAACTTGGGGGGCGCTCAAACACAAAACGGTCTTGCCGAGCACACATGCGTAACGGCGAAGAAGATATACGCCAAGCGTCTACACTGCCGGGAAGAAATAAGACGAGGAAGATGCGAGGCAAGATGAATGTAGAGCTGCTGGTCTCGTTGGTGTCGGAACATAAAGAACTATATGACAAACGCGACAGCGACTACAAAAATCTTGATAAAAGAGAATGTTATGGAGTGGTATTGCAGAGAAAATGGGCGCCATCTAATGTCAGGGAATGAATTTGCATGTTCACTCGGCTCATCGTCAGCGAATATCGCTTGGGTGTGAACACAAAAAACGCGTTGAAAAACGCTGGCGAATAACGCGCGCGGATATTCGTCCCGCTGTGTACGAGCCTTTAGGTGTGAGCGATCTAATGTTTAGAAGACCTAGTTTTAGAAATTGTTTTTGTTCACTGATATTTAGATTTTCTGGTTTAATTACAATAAGATTTTTCCTAGATCCTACACTAGATTTATTGTTTGGCCTCACTAGACGAGGAATAGACACAGTTTCTATATAATGTTCTACAGTACTTATATCAATTAAGTTGGGACAGCAAAGACTGTGATTTGGACTTTGACTTACTAGTCAGATGGAGTGTAACGTCTTGGAGATGTTGTCCGACAGAACAGCCGCTCCGATTCTGCTGGGGTGCAGGCCATCAGCACGGTAGAGCCTAGGTCGCTCCCAGAACAGATTCCAATTATTTACAAAGAGCAGTTTCTGTTCATTACACAATGACATTAACCATTCATTTAGTGCAAATAATCTACTGAACCTTTCCTGTCCTTGTCGGTACGTGGGAAGCGGTCCAGACACGATGATCGTTGCCTCAGGCGCTGTGCTGCGTACTGTCTCGATCAGGCTCCTGTAGTCCTTCTTCAGAACCTCCGTCTGCCGCAGCCTGATGTCGTTCGTTCCCGCGTGCAGCACCACAGCTCCGACGCGCTCTTCACCGTTCAGGATCTCGGGAACCTGTGCGGCGACATCAAGAACACGAGCACCAGGAAAGCAGTGAGTGCGCACCTTACCCTTACCTGAGGTAGCACGGACATGACGGACCATGGAAGTGCCGATGATCACGGCGTCGTCGCGTTCCGACTCGCGAAGAGGGGAGAAGCGGTTCCGGGTGGAGATCTCGAAGACCGGGAGGGGCGGAGAGGTTCTTGCTCTGGTCCTGGCTCGTGTCTTCCGCTGTGGGATCACCCAGGGTCCATGGTGTTGTGTAGGTGCCAGAGTGAATGAAGCCAGAGATGATCGCGTCCTCCTGGGCAGAGAAACGCACGGAGTAGACGAAGTCGGAGTCAAAAAATTACTAACCACTGACTTATGAGCATCGGCGCGTGACGTTTCAAGCGCTGATCGCCGATCCCGCAGCTCGGCTTGCCTCTCTAGCAGACCACGGATCTGTTTCTCCACCGATTCCAGCTCCAATCGTACCGAAATCAGCTCGAATGTGTCCTCACCTGCACTCAGAGGTAACGTTAGACACACATCCGATATGTTCGCCATTATAACAGATGAACAGTAAATTAGTAGTGATACTACCAATATCACTACTAATTTAGGACTGGAATGCTAGATATAACCTGTATCCTTTCAGTTAAACGGGTGTAAAATCAGACGGTCAATAGGCGCGAGGCCACACGTGAAATGCTAGCGGGCTGAAAGGCTAGTAGCCGAGATTCGCGAAGTTGGATCTAAGTAGCGATATCAAAGCAATCCGATTGTTTTTTATAGGGAATAGTATCGAGGATAAGTTCACACGATGTAAAAATAGAAAGTGCTTGTTTATAAATGAGTGGTAAAGAAGAAAATCAAGGATTAATGAATCAATTCGACGGAGCTACAAACACAAACACAGACCACACGCGCATGCGCAGGATACCTTTGACTTTCGACCAGTGGCAATCAAGAAACTTCACTGCCGTACCATGAGAGCAGCAGGCGTCATATGACGCAGCGCCTGAAAATAGGCCACCTTCCGTCAACACAACGGAACTATTTTCAGGCGCTGCGTCATATCATTACGCCTGCTGCTCTCATGGTACGGCAGTGAAGTTTCTTGATTATTACGCAGGAATGAGAGTATAGTTCCTAGCCATATCAGCCTAGAAAATCGCAACTTTACATTTTCCGTCGGTCTTAGTGCACGATGTAACTACAGAAGAGTCAAGTTTTAAATAGGAAAAATATCGAAACTCTGGTAATTTTTTTTTTTAGAAATGCTAATGGTCTTGTCCACTTCAATGATGTATGCTAAGCTATGCTAAAAGTGGTACCGCCAGAACCGGAGATCGGCTGAATGGATTCAAAAACGGTAAAACTCAACAGTTTAACTCTGGGGGAGTTGTAAAATGAGCCTATTTCCAAAAAAAGTGGAGTATCCCTTTAAAAGCACATTTTTAGTCATACCTGAAAACAAATCCTTTTCAAATAGGCTATATGGGCCATTCTATAGAATTGGTTCAAAGTTAGAGTAGGAAACATCTTTTTGAAAAAGAAAATTGTCTTTTTCCATAAATATCTTATAAAAGTATAATTTTTTTAAAGTAGGCCAATACATTTTATCATACATATTTCAAAGTTAAGGATTCATTATTTTTATATAGCTTGCATTGGAACAAACACTATAACAGTTGATTAGTTTATTTTTGACAAAACATACTATATACAGGTCCTTCTCAAAAAATGTGCATATTGTGATAGTTCATTTTTCATAATATAATGATAAAAATGTAACTTTCATATATTTTAAATTCATTGCACACCAACTAAAATATTTCAGGTCTTTTATTGTTTTAATACTGATGATTTTGGCATACAGCTCATGAAAACCCCAAATCCCTTTATTAAAAAATTAGCATATTTCATCCGACCAATAAAATAAGTGTTTTTAATACAAAAAAAAGAGTCAACCTTCAAATAATTATGTTCAGTTATGCACTCAATACTTGGTCGGGAATCCTTTTGCAGAAATGACTGCTTCAATGCAGCGTGCCATGGAGGCAATCAGCCTGTGCCACTGCTGAGGTGTTATTGTGTGGTATGGTGTTATTTAAACGTATTAGTGGTGCACGATATATCGGCCGCCGATATAATATCGGCCGATATGGTAAATTTTTTACACATCGGTATCGTTCCGATGTCAAAATAGGGCCGATGTGAACAGGCCGATAATCATTCCTGTGTATTTGACCTGCGTGTAGATGTGAGTGCGGGGGCGGGGATGTTTGTTTTTGCACGAGCGCACGTCACATAATGTGCTGGAGGTGGCAAAAAAAGTCCGTTTAACTTTGCCTTTGGTGAGGGAGCAACGATGTCGTCTGTCTGGTCGTTCTTCAAAGTGTCTGAAGAGGATCCTCGATATGCTGTATGCAATAATTGTGAGGGCCGGGTGATGCGAGGGGGAGTTCGTGTCAAATCGTTCAACACGACCAATTTGATCACCCACTTAAAAAACAAGCATCCCGAAGCATACACAGAATATGAAAAACTAGCTAATGCTAACAAGCAGCAGAAGAAAAATGCTTATAACACTACAGCAGCTGCACCAGTCGGTAGCCCCATAGAACGCTTGTTGGAAAAGAACAAGAAATTCCACAAGGACCACCCGAAGCAAAAGGCATTGACCATGGCAATAACAAAGATGATCGCTGTTGATGACCAACCGTTTTCAGTAGTGGAAGACGAAGGCTTCAGAGAGATGCTTGAGGTCGCTGAGCCCCGCTATGACAAGCCAAGTCGTCGTTACTTTGCGGATGTCGCCCTGCCTGCCTTACATGATATCGTAGCCACCCACGTCCACAAGTTACTCGACAGCGATGCTAATGACATCAGTTTTACAACAGATATCTGGAGTTCCGACCTTAACCAAACAAGCATGTTGAGCCTCACAGCTCAGTGGATTAATAACAACTTCGAGATGAAGAGAGCCGTGTTACATGCCCAAGAATTCCCTGGCTCGCATACAGGTAGGCCTGGCTATTTTTTTGGACAGATGCTAATTAAATTAACCTGTTAACCGTTGCCAGTGCGGGCGCACTGAAGCGTTTTTGTTTGTTTAAATAGTTCAAAGATACTATCAGATTTAACGTTAATGTTATTCCCTTGACAAACTAGAACTTTACATCATAAAAGGAAACGATATAAGACTCAAGTTTTAGTATTTGACCACTATTGTATTCTGAGAAACTTATCGCGACAGTTATGTCTTTATTTGTGTCAGGATGTAATGAAAAAATGTGTCGATAACTTTAATATGAATTGTGAGCGTCAGCCGCTCTCATTCAGAAAAAAAAAACTCCTGCGCTGTCGTCATGACAGCGCTTGACAAAACAACGTCCCTCAGGGCTTTTAGCTAAAAAAGAAATATAATATGGAGAAACATTTATAAATTCTCATAGGTTTACATTAGATTTCTATAGACCGGAATAATATTAATTGAATTTATACCCAAATGCAGATAAAGATCTTTTGAAGACAGTAAACATGATTGCAATGATATTTGATTTACCTGTGTTCTTTGAGCCATAACAGGTATTTTCATAATAATAGATTTTTGTGTTTATAATGTAATGCTAATCGATATAGACTTTATAGATAGCCAATATATACACCCAACCCACTTCTGCTGTGACTGATCAGAATGCGGGAATGGCAGAAGTTGGTTGGGAAAAAAGACGCATTGTATCATGTGCCAGCTAGCTAACATGTCTTTGATTAAACTTTTTTTTTTAAATCCTTTTATTCCAGGTACCGCCATAGCCAGTGCGTTTGAGGGCATGTTTACAGAATGGAGAATCCGGAAAGAAAATGTGCACGTTGTCCTTCGAGACAACGCACGAAATATGGTGAAGGCGATGGAGGAGTGTGGTGTTAAAAGCCTGGGCTGTATGGCTCATCTGGGGCAGTTAGCAGTGCACGATGCAGTACTAAGCCAGCGAAGCGTTGTTGACTCTTTGGCTATAGCGAGAAAAATAGTCGGACATTTTAAAAGCTCCCCCCTTGGTACCTCTCGGCTGAGAGACATCCAGAGAGAGATGGGAATGAAGACCAAGATGCTACAACAGGACGTCCCAACGCGCTGGAACAGTACATTCCTGATGATGACAACTCTCCTGGAACAAAAGCGCGCACTGGTTATGTACGAGGCTTACCACGGGCTGCCTGTATCTCTCAACGCAAACCAGTGGAGTCTCATTGAGAAAATGACCACACTCCTGGCACCCTTTGAAGAGTTGACGAGAGAGATTAGCTCGCATACAGCTACAGCTGCTGACGTGATCCCGTCTGTTGTGGCACTCAAGCGTTTTCTGAACAAGACAGCCGAAACCGACAGTGGGGTCAAAACGACCAAGTCTGCACTGCTTGAAGCCATGAACAAGAGATTTGAAACCACTTTCTCCGAGCAACTCTACTACTTGGCAACAATCCTGGACCCCAGATACAAAGATCGCTACTTTGATGCAGATCTCAAGCAAGTGGCAAAAAACAAGCTAGAGAAAGAAGTGGACAAGATGACAGTGTCAGCGACAACCAGCGCCAGTGCCACATTTGGGCCTACACCAGACACAGAAGACACTGAGCCAGAAGAAGGTGAACCACAAGAAAAGAGGATGTGTACACCAAGTGAAGGGCATTCGTTCCTGGACATGTTCGATGAAATTCTGGAGGAAAAGGAGCAGGATGAACAGGCAACAGGTTCAACGAGTGTGCAGGTAGGCTAGGTTACTATACTATTTGAATCAGATAATCTTTTAATAGTCTTTCATTCAAATTAAGTTTTTCACATTTCTTTGTGTGATCAGATCATTTATTGACAGTAAAATCTCATGAAAAACTGAATGAACAGTTATTTTATTTCATTTGGTGTCATGAATACAAATGTTGAATAATAATTTCCTGATGATTTGCCAGAGATGTATATTTACACTTGTCTATATTTCTTGTAGGTGCATGGTTACCTGAGTGAGCCCACCATCCCCAGAAATGTGAGCCCGCTGCAGTACTGGCAAAGCAACATGACCCGCTTCCCTGCCCTCGCCCCAATGGCACGCAAGTACCTTTCAGCTCCCTGTACAAGCGTGGAAAGTGAACGTCTCTTCTCCGGCGCTTCAAATGTTGTCAGTGAAAAGAGAAATAGGATCGGTACAGAGAGAGCAGAAATGCTCCTGTTTGTTAAGCACAACATTTGTCTGCTTCCAAAGCCCGGGAAGGCCAAGGGTTAGGCCTAACCCTAAAGTACTTGGTAGTTACAGTACTTAGTTACTGTACTTACAGTTCAGAAGACTGCAAAAGCCAGTGTCTGTTCAGTCCAGTTTGTTCTGGCTCCATTTTCACATTTTACCTTTCAATACTTTTGGCTTTGGCCATTTAAGGCCTACTACTGTACTTTAAAGTTTTGAACTGTTGTACAATGTTCACAGAATACAGTAACTTTGTCTCAAGTGAGTTAGATGTTTATTGAGATTTGAGAATACTCAGGGTTGGCTTATTCATAGTGTGAATTCAGGACTTGTATCCTTTATTAAAAAAAATGTTTATATAAATATTTATTTTTTCTTTTGAAAATCTGATGACATATTTTGCACACAGGTAAAGGTGCCCAATATCAGTCATTTCTGAAAATAAAAAATAAAAATGTGTTTTGGAAAAAAGCTCTTTATTTGATTATCATAAAAATGTGTTTTCTATATAGAGATATCGACATCGGTAAATATCGGTATCGGCCATAACAGCAATATTAATATCGGTTATCGGTATCGGCCAAAATTTTCACATCGGTGCATCCCTAAAACGTATACAACATTTAAAAAAAATATATAAAAAAAAATTTCACACTAATTCTGTGTTGTGTTTTTTCTGGTAATAAAATGAAGACATAAAACACAAATTGTATCATTTATCATCAATTTTAATCATATGAAATTAAATAAACTTTTTGTCAAATAACGTGCTGCACAATGAGCTTTACTGTTAAAATTAAAACATGGATTATTCCTTAAATTCAGTTTTGATGATAATTTATTTGGATCTGTGTTAGTGTATTATTACATCGGGACATATCTAAATTCTACTGTACAACGGTAATATATTTCTGTCAAGTTAAACCGAACTTTTATTTTGACGAGTTGCCGTGAAGACCTTTTGAGTTTGTGTGTTTATGTCATAATGATAGTTTTTCTCAAATGAAGCGGTTAAATGATCACGAAGTGACTTTCGGAGTGGATCTAGAGCCTGGAGAGGAAGTTTATGCATTTGTGTCTTCATATGGGCAAAAAAAACAGCGCAAGCGTCACACGTGCTTCAGTGTGTGTGTGTGTGTGTGTGTGGTAAATGAAACTGCGCGTCGGCTGCACCATTCATTCACACAGAACAAGCAGGATTCGTATTTAAATTGTCTTTGTGGTTTAATATCCACACACACTTGTCTACATCGCGATTTGATTTCAAGTGTATACTGAACTGCTTTCTATTTATTCCTCAAAAGATTGACAAATTCCATGAAATTCCGCATTATACAGTAAATTTCTTTATGACTGGATTTCGTCAGCAATTTAGGGGGGGGCGGGGGGTCGTTTTGGGGGGGCGGGCCGCCCCCCCAAAACAATGGTAGGGGAAACACTGCAGAGTGTTGGGTCTTGCGTCTCTCAACTTTCTCTTCACAATATCCCACAGATTGTCTATGGGGTTCAGGTCAGGAGAGTTGGCAGGCCAATTGAGCACAGTAATACCATGGTCAGTAAACCATTTACCAGTGGTTTTGGCACTGTGAGCAGGTGCCAGGTCGTGCTGAAAAATGAAATATTCATCTCCATAAAGCTTTTCAGCAGATGGAAGCATGAAGTGCTCCAAAATCTCCTGATAGCTAGCTGCATTGACCCTGCCCTTGATAAAACACAGTGGACCAACACCAGCAGCTGACATGGCACCCCAGACCATCACTGACTGTGGGTACTTGACACTGGACTTCAGGCATTTGGGCATTTCCTTCTCCCCAGTCTTCCTCCAGACTCTGGCACCTTGATTTCCGAATGACATGCAAAACTGAGCAACAGTCCAGTGCTGCTTCTCTGTAGCCCAGGTCAGGCGCTTCTGCCACTGTTTCTGGTTCAAAAGTGGCTTGACCTGGGGAATGCGGCACCTGTAGCCCATTTCCTGCACACGCCTGTGCACGGTGGCTCTGGATGTTTCTACTCCAGACTCAGTCCACTGCTTCCGCAGGTTCCCCAAGGTCTGGAATTGGTCCTTCTCCACAATCTTCCTCAGGGTCCGGTCACCTCTTCTCGTTGTGCAGCGTTTTTTTGCCACACTTTTTCCTTCCCACAGACTTCCCACTGAGGTGCCTTGATACAGCACTCTGGGAACAGCCTATTTGTTCAGAAATTTCTTTCTGTGTCCTACCCTCTTGCTTGAGGGTGCAGGGTACATGCAGGAATCATAGAGATGAATTTACTACCTTTTAATACCTTTTTTACTACCTCCACAATATTTTTTACTACCAACACGACATGTACTCTATGTAACGTTACAATGTTCTCAATATAATTCACAATCCCACGTTTATAATGAACAACGTGTTATGGTTATTGTGTTATTAAAAACTGTGTACGCAGAGAGGCGGGGTGACCAAAGCTCATTATCATTTAAAGGCATGTGCACTGAAACGGCGTGCTGAAAACAGAGCTATTTTTGAGCTGGTAAAATTAGTGTTTTCTTAAAATACTAATGAGAATTTTTAATAAAAGTATATTACAAAGTTTTCATTTAGACCCTAAAGATTCATATTAACTTGTACAAAAATGGCATTATATGACCCCTTAAACCCTAGCCCTTGAGTTATCCTAACCATTACGTTAACCCTTAGCCCTAATTAGGTGAATAATAACCATGGCACTTAAAAACAAATGACACTTAACAGCCATGTCTTCGGTGGTGGCCGACAGACACTTATCCTTTCTTGCCCGTTTTTTTTTTTTTTTTAAGCTTTGATTTTACCACTTGATTTCATAGCTTTCTTCTTTGCTGGACCTGATAATTGTTTTGGTATAATCATATCAATATCAAAAAGTAGAATAAAAACGAAGCATTAAAAAGTTTATTTTAAAAGTTTATTTAAAGGTGCTCTATGTAACTTTTCTACTAAAATGAATCCTTTTTTTATTGCCTGTGTGTGAAGGGGTTGTAATCACACATTAAAATGATCCACTTGTAGAGTTTTGCTATTACCTCTGAAGGCCAGTATTCCTATTTCTATGTGAAGTCTCCGGGTCGGATTTACCGCGAAATCCAACGGATGTGACATGCATGCGCGCTCCCGAGCCTCTCTCCTTATATACAGTCTATTGTAGACGGTCAGGGAGTTACGTCCGGTTAAAGGCGCACGTTTTTCGGCTTATATCTCAGTCAATCTTTGATCAATATTCCCAAGACTCTAATCGTTCGTAGTGCTGGACGGGGCCTTTCGAACGAGCCCATCCCCGAGGTCCAACTCGCCCGGCTCCCCGAGTTATAGCCGTTCGAAATCGGGGGTCCCAGCGAACGGCGATCCGGTAGGGGGCATCCCCGAGGCCCGCCACTCTAGCGTTGGGGCAAGGGTTCCCCTGGGACCTCCTCCCCCGAATTTGAGCTCTCTGGGTCTTTGCGTTCCAGAGATACGAGCGATTTTCTTCTGAGATCGTGACGTCACCGGCGTCCGGAATTTTGCAGCGCGCCCGATGGTTTTCTGCTAATATCTCCGCGAAAACACCACCAAAAACTATGGAACTTATATGGTTCTTTTCAGCTCGACTAGATGGTCCCAACGAGCTCAGTGCTCGCCGAATCCGTCTAGTATTCTCCGAGATATTTGCGTAATAGACGCAGGGCTCCAGACTAACTTTTTTTACTAGGAGCGCTGTTGCCCCTGACTGAATTTTAGGAGCACAAGCAGAAAATTTAGGGGCACACCTTAAATCAGCTTGCAATGCAATTATTCAAATTTCCCCCAAAATAACTGTAATACTGACAAATTCTTTAATAATAAAGAGACTTAACGTACAGATATTACGATATGCAGTTTTATTTTAAGTTCACAGGGCTCCAGACTCAAATTTGAGGGCAGCATAACCTCAAATGAGAACTCACACTGAGTTCTACAAAAAGAAAAATTCTGGTAGCACTGGGGCTGACAATAAATCACTAAGCTTAATTTAGGGTGTAGATGAAATTAACTTTTGTTATTATTATCATTCATAATGTCTTAATATTAATTAAAAAACAAAAGGAGTGAAAAAATGTATATTAAGGAGTGAACATAGCCAATAAACATCCTACTGTTTACAATGGTATTTTTTTTTTAAATAAGTGTTTAAATAAGAGTTATCCAACATCTTAAAATTTTTAGTTTTAGGACAATCTTTGAAGGATGAACAAAAAATGTGTTGGTCATCACAAAAAAGAAATTAAAAAAAGCATTTAAATATGATATTATAGTTTTGAAGTGCTAGAAAAGATGTGTAGGCTGCGTTTGACTATTTCTGTCACATTATCATATTTATGGTTAGTTACTTACTACATTAGCCTAAATCCATGGTGAATATTGCTGATTTGTGGACTGAAAGCCTTCTATAAGTTTTTCTCCTGGTTTCCACGTCAGCACTGTTTGATCTGATATCTATGGTTTATAACAGAACTCTGCGCGGAATCGGAATGTTTCTCACTGGATCTCGTAGCGATGATGTTATTAATTCTGAGGCGAATTCAATGGATTTCTTCACTGGATCTCCTAACAGTGTCGCGTGAGCGAGATCGGCCCGCGACTGGCAAGTTCGGGTCTTTATTTTACTGTCAATGGTTCGGGGCGCTGCTCCATTGATATACATAAGAAAGGCTATGCGCTGCTCTGTCTATTATTGGTCCGGAATAATTAACGGTCCGTGAAGCATAAATGAGTAGCGTATTTTCGTTCCACTTTCATTTTGTTTGCATTCGCTGCTTGGTAACGTCGATAGATCGCTCATTGCTCAGACGCAGCTTGTGATATTTGTCTCCGTCTCCTTCCCACAGACACGCGCGCTCTCTATTCTTGTCACACTCACTCATTCCGGATTCATTGACCCGACCCTTCCACGCTTAATCATGCGTTTAACGTGAGGCAAATTTACTGGTCGCACATGTGCGACTGGATGTAAAATTCAGTCGCACACTCTCAAATTTTAGTCGCAAAATGCAACCATTTGGTCGCAGT